GGGCATCTAAGATGAACACAGAGGACAAAATTAAAGAAGTGAATAAATATATGAAAAAATGCTCCACATCACTAGCCCTCCATGAAATGCAAATTAAAACAACACTGAGATATCATCTCACTCCAGAAAGAATGGCTATCATAAGAAATCAACTAACAACAAATGTTGGAGAGGCTGCGGTGGGGGGGGGGGAGGATGAACCCTTCTCCACTGCTGGTGTGAATGTATTGGTGCAAACACTATGGAAATCAGTGTGGACATTCCTCTAAAAACTAGTACTGGAAATCCCATTCAAACCAGCTATTCCCCTACTGAAAATTTTCCTGGAGGAACTAAAAACATCATATCATAGTGATATATGTGTACCTATGTTTATAGCAGCACAATTTGTGATAGCAAAATCTTGGAAACAACCAAGATGCCCATCACCTGAGGAATAAATGAAAAAGATGTGGTATTTTTATACAATGGAGTATTACTCAGCTATAAAGAATAATAAACTTGAGTGAAATAAACCAGACCCACATGTGTAAATATCATATAGTCTCCCTAGTATAAGAACTCAAAAGAAGAAATACGAATAGAAAGGTATAACACAATTAAAAGGAAAGCAAGAACTTGTGCATTAGACAATGAAGAATGAGCAACGAAATAAGTTAGGAAACATGATAGGAGCAAAGCCATACATTTATATGTACAAAATGGCTAAGGCAATGATCCTGAGAATCTTCAGCAGGTTTTTGAAACTAGAGGTTAATTGGTAGGATTCTCTGACTAACTATATATGCTGATACCTGTGAACTAAGCAACTGCACTGAAGATAGCAATGTGTAAAAGTAGAGTCATGTTTGGAGTGCCTGTCATTCTGGTCTTCTGATTACGTGCTGCTTGTCATAACACGCCAGTTGCTGCCATGCTGTCTCTCGGGTATATGTTTGTTTAAAAAGGCAGGGGGTGATGAATGAGGGCAGGAGACAGGAAAAAGGTGTTGTGGGACTGTCCTACTACAATGCTATATATGGTTAGATTTCTAAACATCTGTATAAAAATATGCAATTGTTTATTAATATTTTAATACATTTTTTAATTTTTAAAATTTTTTCTTCATATTCTGTAGGGACCTAAAGTTTAATATATCAATACTTAATGAAAAATACCTGTTCCATGTCATCACAAAGATGTTTGATATTCAGACAGACAGTGAAATTAGCTGAACTGCCTAGGTTGTAGGGTAATAACAATAAGCTTCTCTTCTGGTGATTAACAACCTAAGTTTGCAGACCAAAAATTAGAGAAAAATGAGGGCTGAAGAACAGCAAACATTTTGGTCCTGGCCTTTCAAGGTCAGTGAAGACTCAGAACAGGGGAGAACCTGTACTGCAACATCCTGTAACTCAGTTGTGCCCCAAATTCTCTGATCAAGGAGATTATGGGGCCACAGAGGAAAGTGATCGATGATGTAGAGTGTACCTAAGGAGAGTCACATGGAGAGAAAACATTCTCTCAGGCTTTCACAGAGAGCAAATTGGTCAAGCAATGGCCATGACTCATTCACATGGCTGACATTGACAAAGGATCTACAAACTGCAGTACAGGATTTCAGGGTAAATCCTGAGGGGATTTGACTGACCTTGTCAAATATTGAAGTTGTATTTCTTGTTATATAGGTCTTGTTTTATCTTAGTTTTAACAATTCAGCAGAAAAGTACAAAAACGAAGTATAAAAAGTAAAGCCATATTAATATACTGAACTATAAAGGCTCAAGTCAACAACTTCTGACATTGCCAGTCTTACAGAAAACCCACTACTATTATGGACTACTGGACTATATTGGAATATTTTGCTGAATTCATGCACCTATAATATTAAATGACAATGGCATACCCTTCTCTGACAAAACTAAACCAAAAAGGGAACACAAATGAATGACCATTTTGTATCTGTATATTCAAAATAGTTGGATAGATATACAGCTACATTCTCTTAATTCAATAAATAGATTTATTCTAATAAAGTTTGTAAACAAGATATCATGTCTGTATCTTGTACAATGAATAGCCACTAAGACAACAATATGCATTGTATTAATTATTGAAACTGTCCTAATAATCAGATTTGAAACTGTCTCATTGCTATTTGTTTCTCAATAAAAATATTTTAAGAAAAGAAAAATAATATAAGGTTGATAAATGTCAACAAAACAGGAGAAGTCAACATAAATGACATAAAAGATTATTTGCAGTAGTAAGAGAAAATATCCCAAGAATAGGAAAAGAATATGACACACATAAGTGAGGTTTAGAAAATTCCAATTAGCCATAACCAAAATACATACACACCTAGACACATAATAATATCCAAGAAATTCACTAAAACAACAGAATAGTAAAAGCTATTATAGGCTACAAGGACCTGGTGGGCCCAGCCCCACCTCCTGACCCTCGCTGGAGCTCAGCTGAGCGTCAGTCAACCAGAAGACTGCCGCAGGGGCCTGGTCAGCCCTGCCCTGCCCCTCTCACCCTCACTGGAGCTTGGATGGGCTGAAGCTGCTCTTCCACCATCTGCTGAGCTATGGCTGCCTGTCTCACCAATAGCAGGAACTTTGTTGAGCTCTACCTTGCACCCACCCAACACTGAGAAGGCCCCGCAGAACTTCAGCCCAGCCTCATCATCATGAGATCATTTTTTGAGCTGAGGCTTGTTCCCCCAAAATGGAAGCTACACTGAACCCCAAAAAGCAGGAGCATTGGTGAGCCTACTCTGCGCTCCCACTCTCCTGAGTTTGTTGCTCACCCACAAACCACCCCCTTATCAACACTGCAGAGTCAGGGAGAACACTGGAGTTTCAAAAATTACAAAAAGAAGAAATAAAAGATAATCTCAGATCTCCAACCCACTCAAAACTGTAGGGCATGGCAGCTCTCTGAATTGGGTTAGTTTTATCCCAGCAAAAGAAGCTCTAATTTAGCCTTCCCCACCCTTGAAAGATGCTGTCACTCTTTCAGTGCTTCCCTACCCTTGTTAAGATGTAACTCCTTCATTCCTTCCCCACCCTTGTTAAGATGTTGTACCTATTTAAACAGAGACATAATAAATAACAAGGCCTGATGTGCTTCTGATGTTTAAGGATCAAGGAAGCATGTTCAGCCACTGGCAAGACATTTAAGATCTATAACTCAGAAAGGTCCAGTACGTAGCTTTATTAATAAACTCTGTTTTTGCTGATTTTCAGTCTGATGTGGAAATAATCTCATCATTTCAAAACAAGTCCAAGAGACAAGGTTATAGAAGAATTTGGAAGTCACACACCTGAAATTTCTGAAATGATAGCACCTGAAGTAAAGAAACAACTCCATAAGGGTATGAAAAAAATGCTACTAACTCATTTAAGGTATCTACTAAATGAGTTAGTAGCAGAAATAATCTCTGAGGTAAAAAAGAAAGTGACAAAAATCATGAAAAACTGCTCAATACATCTGAAGAAGATAGAGTTTAAAAGCAAAGAATAGGAAAATGGTAGAAACATGGAATGAATAATGAGGAACTAGAATGCATGAAACAGATTCGAGCAGATATTCAGGAAATTAAGAACTCCATTGAAAGCTAGCAAAACTGAAGATAGAATTTCAGACCTTGAAGATAGCATTGCAACTAGTGAATGTGAAAAGAAAGAGCTCTTCAAAATAACAAGGAACCAGGAAATAACAATAGAACAGCTGCAAGACAATGTGAAAATAAATAATATAAAACTAATAAGTATCAACGAAATAGCTGGAGTTAACACAAGTGAAATAAAGACTGCAGAGTTAGTAGCAGAAAATTTCTCAAACATGAGAAAACAATCTCACATATAGTTATGTGAGGCATATAGGACTCCAGTTACCTATAGTCAAAATAAATCTACCCCTAGACATACAATAATCAAGTCCCCAGAAATTGAGCAAAAGAACAAAATATTAAAAGCTGTAAGAGACAAGAAACAGATCACCTATAATGGAAAGCTCATCAGAATCACAGGAGATTTCTCAACACAGACCATCAAATCAAGAACTTGGAATGAGATATTTCAGGTCCTGAAAGAAAACAACTTCCAATCCAGACTGATATACCCTGCAAAACTATCTATCAAATTTAGTGGAAAGATAAGATACTTCCAGCACAAGGAACAACTGAAGAAATTAATGACCACCATACCAACCCTACAAAAAATACAGACATATTTTAGAAAGAGACAGAACTGGCCACAACTTAAAGAAAAACAGAAGAGAACCACCAAGCAGAGCAAGCAATTAAGCAAAGGGAAAAAGTAGGGCTCCCACAGTAAGAAAACAACATGACAGAGACAAGCCAACACATATTAGTTATAACCACAATGTAAATGGCCACAATTCACCCATCAAAAGAAACACACTGGGAGAGTAGATCAAGAAACAAAATCTGAAAATATGCTGCATACAAGAAACGCATTTATTTTTTCAACTTGTTTTATTTTATTCTATTTTGAACAGTAAAAACAAAAGCAAAAAAATAGCAGAAACAGAGACAGAAACAGGGCAACATACACCCATGCATATGTTACAGATTTTCAAAAAAAAACAATAGCTCATTAACAATGTTTTTTTTGTTTCTTTGTTTTTTTGTTTTTGCGGAACCAGGGATTGAACTCAGGCCCTGACACTTGCCAGGGAAGTGCTTATTCTACTGAGCCATCTCCCCAACAACAATGGTTCTTATACTGTCTATTTTTTTTTGGCGGGGGGCAGAACCGGGGATTGAACTCAGGCCCTTTTGCTTGCCAGGAAAGCACTTATTCTACTGAGCCATTTCCCCGGCCCCTATACTGTCTATTTTTATCATCAAATCTGTTGCTCAAATTAACAGAATAGTTAGGATGAATAATTGATTATTAATGTTTGCTCACAATAAACCTTAATTTTCTCTTGTCTTTTTCCTTTCTTAGTTTATTTTGCAGAGAGTCTCATAATAATTGACAAGACATAAAAATCTGGAATGCTCCATGAATTTGCATGTCATCCTTGCACAGGGGCCATGCTAATCTTCTCTGGATTATTATAATTTCAGTATACGTGCTGCCAAAGTGAGCACAAGAAACACTTTTAACTCAAAAGGAAATTAGTAGACTAAACATCAAAGGATGGAAAATAATATTCCATTGATAGGGACCAAAAAAAGGAAAAAGCAGGGGTAGGTATTGTGGTTGCTGAACATGTCAAATTCAAACCAAAACTGATTAAAAGAGATAAAGAAAGTTGTTATATATTTGTTAGGGGAAAACTACAAGAGGAAAAGAAAACAATTATAAGTATATATGCACACAATGTAGGAGCACCCAACTATATAAGACAAATTTTAACAGAAATTAAAAAAATGAGCAATAACATAATTGTACTTTAACACCATATTGACACAAATACCTAGATCAACCAAGCAAAAAAATCAGCAAAGAAATGACAGAACTGAATGAAACTTGTGAAGAAATGGACTTAGTAGAACTTTACAGAGTCAGAATACACATTTTTCTCAGCTGCATATGGACTGTCCTGCAAAATAGACCATGTACTACCACATAGAGCATGCTTAAGTAGATGCAAAGGAATCAAAATTATACCATACATGTTAACTGACAACAGTGCAATGAAACTGGAAATCATTGACAAAAGAAATTGCAAAAAATCCATAAACACATAGAAACTAAATACCCCACTGAACAATCAATGAGCCACAGAGGAAATTAAAGAAGAAATTAAACAATATTTACAATCAAACAAAAATACTGACACAACATACTGCAACCTGTGGGATGCAATGAAAGATGTCTGAAGATAAAAATTTATAGCAATCAGTTCTTACATCAGAAAAATAAAACAATACCAAATAAACACTCTTGTGTTACACTTCATGTTAGAAAACAGAAGGGCAAGTCCAGCCCAAAGCCTAAAGAATGGAGGAAATTATAAAGATCAGAGCAGAAATAAATATAATGGAGAGGAAAAAACAATACAAAGAATTAATGAGTCAAAGAGTTGATTCTTGGAAAAAATAAATTAATAAACCAATAGCCAAATTCATCAGAAAAAGGAAAGAAAAAAACTGAAATTCTTTTTTAATTTAATTTTATTTTTATTTTTAAAAGGAATACAAAATAATCATAATAAAAAATATAAAATTGTACAGAATTGCACCAAACAAAATAATACAAATTGCACAGTATTTGTTGTATTGCATAGCATTTTCTTCAAATTAGTTGTTCAGATTACCAGATATATGCATGCAAAATTGGAAAAAAGTTATAAGAAATTAAGAGAAAAAATTATGTATTAACTACTCCTTTTCATATGCCAGCAGAAATCAACAGTACAATTATCCAAGCCATCTGTTAACATACATAGATCAATTTCTCTCCACCACCTCTCCTGTCCTTCTTATTTCAGTATTTCCTTCCTTTTGAACAGATTCTTTCCCTTTTCACATTATCTATGGTACCTTTCAGATTTTATTTACTCTTTCAGGATCTTACACTAGCAAGACAATACAGTGTCTTTTGCACATGCAGTTCCGATTTATTTATTTCACTTAAAGAGTGTGTTCTTTAATTGTATCTATTTACCAATAAAAGCCTCAAATTTATCCTTTTTTATAGCTGAGTAATACTCCATTGTGTAAAAGTATATCTTCCTTACCCATTTCTAAGTTGATGGGCATTTGGGTTGTTTCTAAGATTTAGTTGTGACAAATTGCATTGCTATAACATAAATCTACTCTTGCTTCCTTAAGTGGATACATTCTGTCTTCTTCAGTCCCTGGGAGAAGGCGCAGCCATGGATTTTGATACTGTAGGAGGTGATCGGTCCTTCTCAGAGCTGTTTTTCATAATGATCAGTGGCTCACATCATAACAAGTTTACTCTTTTCAACTAACTCCCAGGAACCAACTTATATTTGGCTTAGTCAACAGCTACTCCTCTTTCTTTCTCTGGGTACCTCTGGAAGGGTAGAGTTTGCACCCCTCAGTCACATAAGGACACTGTCACATCGAGAAATCCACATCTCTCAATGACACCAAGAGCCCAGCAACTCTGAAAAAATTCAAACTCTTGCAATAAGGAATGAAAAGGGGAAGTCACTACAGACCCTATAGTAATTCAGAAGATCAGGAGTACCTATTTCCAAAATCTTTACTCTCACCGGATGGAAAACACAGAAGAAATGAACAGATTCCTAGATAGACATGAATTTCCAAAGCTGAATCAAAAAGATACAAAAATTCTGAATAACCCAATATCAGTGAATGAGATTTAAAATGTAATAATAATAATAAAAACTACCAACAAAGAAAAGCCCAGGTCCTAGTGGATTCACACTTGAATTCTATAAGAAATTTAGAGAGGACCTAATGCCAATCTTCTCAAACTTTTCAATGAAATTGAAAGGGAAGCAGCTCTCCCAACCTCGTCCCTGGAGGTAATTATTACTTTGATAAGAAAACTAGAGAAAGAGCCAAACAAAAAACAGAACTACAGGTCAATCTCCCTAATGAACATAGACACAAAAATCCTCAATAAAAGACTAGCAAACAGAAAATAGCAGATCATCAAGAAAATTACACATATGACCAAGTGAAATTCATTCCAAGAATGCAGGGATGGTTCAGTACATACAAATCCACAAATGGAATACACCACATCAAAAGAGTCAAAGGAAAAAACACATCACCATCTCAATAGATGCAGAAAAAGCTTTTGGAAAAGTCCAACACTCATTCATGATAAAAAAAAAAAAAAGCCTATAGAAAATCGGAATAGATGGTCTTTACCTCATTCTGATAAAATCCATCTATGACAAACCAACAGCCAACATCATAATAAATGGACAAAAACTGAAAGTCTTCATTTTAAAATCAGGCACAAGATGAGAATGCCCACTGTGACCACTCCTATTAAACACAGTTCTGGAAACATTAGCCAGAGCAATTAGACAAGAGAAAGAAATAAAAGGAATAATGATTGGAAAGGAAGTAGAAGAAATTATCATTATTTGAAGATGACATGATACTCTACATAGAACAGCCCAAAAACTCCACCAAGAGACTTGTAGATGTAATAATCAAATTCAGTAACATAGCAGAATACAAAACTAATACTAAAAGTCAATAGTATTTCTTTACAAAAACAATGAACCCTTCAAGAAAGAAATTAGGGAAACCATGCCTTTCACAATGAAATCCAAAAAATGAAATATTTAGGAAGCAATCTCACAAAGGTAGTAAAAGATTCATAGAAAGAAAATTATGGTACTCTTCAAAAAAAGATGAAAGGATTTCAGAAAATAGAAAGATAGTCCTTACTCCTGGATAGGAAGTACCAACATTGTGAAAATCGTGATACTCTCAAAATTGTTATACAGATTCCATGCAATCCCGATTAAAATACCATCAATATACTTCAGTGATATGAAACAAAAGCCTGCTGTCCCAAGGGAGAAAAGAGCAAGGAACAGGGTCCATGGATGAATGCTATCTTCCCTTGTAATTCTGCAAGCTGGGATACAAGGTTACTGCAAGCTGTAGATGGCAGCACGTTCCGGGAGCCGACCTCTCCTTGTACTGTCACCTGAGATGTTACTTACTAGTCTTGTGCAAAATTAGGGTTTGATGAATGCCAGAAGGTAAAATAGTAGTTTTCACAAAACTTAATTATGTACATTCCTTAGCTTTGTTTTAGCCCTCGATAAATGTGAGAAGTTTTAGTAGCTCAAGACAGAGTGAGACAAACTTCATTAGTCCTCCATAGCTATATTAATCTAGTCTTCTCATCATTTCTTTTGGATCCAGCTGAACAAATATAATATACCTCTTAGATCTAGGAAACACATTTCTAAAACTTATCTGGATCCAGAAGCAACCCTGGGCAACAAAGGAAAGGAAGGAGGCATCACATCCCCTGACTTGAAATCATACCATAAGGTACTACAATAAAATCAGCATCGTACTGGAAAAAAATAGACCTGAGGACCATGGAACAGATTAGAAGATGCAGACACAACTACAAACACACTCAGCCATCTTATCTTTGACAAAAGGGCCAAACATGTCCAGGTGAAGAAAGATAACCTCTTTAATAAATGGTGCTGGACGTTGGCCAAGCAATGGCCGTGACTCATCCACATGGCTGACACTAACAAAGGTTCTACAATCTGAGGTGCAGGATCTCAGGATAAATCCTGAGGGGATTTCACTGACCTTATCAGACCCAAAAGCTACAACTCTTGTTGCATAGGTCTTGCTTTATCTTGGTCTTAACCATCCAACAGAAAAGTATAAAAACAAAGTATAAGAAGTAAAGCTATGGTGTTAGGTTGAGCTGTAGGGGACTCAATTTCTGACATTGCCAGTGAAGTGAAAGACCCAATACTATTATGAACCTCTGAAGTCTTTTGGAATATTTTGTTGAGTTTACACACCTAGAATATTTAAATGATGGAACTTAACAAAAAAAAGGGGATACAGATGAATGTCCATTTTGTATCTGTGTATTCAAAGTGGTTAAGATAGATATATAGTTACATTCTCTTAATGAATAGAGGATTTATTCTAATGGTGTTTGTAAATAGGATATCAAGTCCACATCTTGTACAGCAATTAACCACTAGGAAGAATGTATGCAATGTGTTAATTACTGAAACTCTCCTAACAATTTGGTTTGAAACTGTCTCATTGCTATTTGTTTCTCAATAAAATTATGGAAAAATAAAAAAAATGGTGCTGGAAAAACTGGCTTTTCACATGCTGAAGACAATAATTAGAACCATGTCTATTCTAAAGTCAAAATGGATTAAAGATTTAAACATCAAAACAGAAACATTAAATCTATTTTAGGAGAAGGTAGATAAAAATCTTGAAGACATAAGGGTAGGCAAAGATTTCATGAACAAAAAACAAACTGCAAGAGACATACCTCATAAAATCAACTGGGATCTCATCATTTGAAAGCTTTCTGTATGTTAAAAGAAATCACCAACAGAGTAAAAAGGAAACCCACAAATTGGAAATAAATTTTAGCCAACTGTCCTTCAGACAAAGGACTTCTA